GTTTACGCTGGAATTAAGGAGATTAAGGGGGGATATGATTTTCATGTACAAGATGTTCAATGGTGACAGCAACATTGGCAACAAACTGTTTGAGATTAACTCCATTACAAAGACTAGAGGCCACCACCTAAAGTTGGTGGAGAAAAAATTCCAGCACAATGGGCGAAGAGGGTTCTTTACAGTAAGAGCGTTTAAGGTGTGGAACTCACTGCCATCGGCAGTGATTTCAGCCAAGAGTGTAGATTTGTTCAAGAAACGTTTGGACAATTTCTTGAGGGACCGTAATATCCAGGGATACCAGTATCCCTAAGAATGAGATGATGCATGGACCTATATGGGTTGGACTTGATGGACGTATGTCTTTATTCAACCCCAAATACTATGTAACTATATGTAACTATGTACGATCTGCCCATCTTGGACAGGCAGATCGTACCTGCGATCATCGCAAGCCCGCCCCCCTGAGGGGCGGGCTTCCGATGACTGTAATGAGGGGCGGGCTTACGATGACTGCAAACGGGCAGTGTGCGCGTGTGCACACTGGCCCGTTCGGCAGTTGTCGAACCAGCAGGCCACTATCTCGCCGAGAATCGTACGATTCCCGGAGGGTTTTCTAGCATGCTGGTTCAACGGAAGACGTGCGACCGTGCAGTAGAAACGATCGCACGCCTTCCATACACTGCACGATTCTCGTACGATCGTGGGATTTCCCGCGATTCTCGTACGAGAATCGTGCAGTGTATGGGCACCTTTAGTCCTTTGAAGGCACCGAAGCTAAAATTAAACAGTGGCCAAATATGTAGTCTGGACACCCTCTAATCTTAGTTTGGGTGCCCTCATAGGACTAAATCATGATTTGTTTAATCTGGCCGCAGACTTTAGAGGGTGGCCAGACATCTAGATGAAGTCTATGTCAAGGTTAAACAATCCATGGCTCAGCCCCTTGAGGACATCGAGGCTAAAGATTAAACAATGAGTTTGCTTTGCTGGTTTTTAAAAAAAACATAAGAGAAAAAGAGGATCAAGTCGTTCCCCGTCTGGTTCTCAAGGCATCCCAACCTGCAGCTACAACAATGAGCAGAATTGAATATTTACAAGAGGTGAAAACATCCACATATAACAACAGAAAAAAAAACTCAATTTTAAATTTGTTTTAAACTACAAAATGTTTATAGATACAGAAAATACATTGGGCTGCCATTAGTATATTTCCCCACAATACAGTAAATGTAACTTCCTAAAACTTTCCTCAACATCCCTGTGCATATACATTTCTACTAAAGTAGAGGGTTTCGGTAGACATCTCCATATTTCATCCTTGTCTGAACAAATGAAAGTGCCTTAATAGTTTGATTGGTCTTTCTCCGAATATGCCGATTCATTATTTACTCAAACGCGCAGAGTTATCCGCAACAGTCAGTATCATCCACTTTTAATCTTAATGTGCGTCTTTGTGTATCTATCTATCTATGTAAAAATCATAGTGCAAAGACTAACTAAATCAGTTCTTGTTATAATTAATTCTACTCTGCTGTTTTCACTGACCCAGCAATATGAGCCAGACTGAAAAAACCCTTCACTCATGGCTCCCTGCAGGGATTTCCACCCTCCCTTGTCCGATCCTCCAGAGCTGATTGGCGGAACAGACGGGGGGAGGGGGCGGGTACAGCTGGCTCTGCCTCTAGGTAGGCAGAGCTAGCTGTCACTCATGCAGCTGGGTGGATCTCGACAGTAATGTCGGGATCCCTCCCGGCTGCGGTGGTCTCAGTATACCGTGAGCTGTAGCTTTCGATATACTGAGCTTTGGGTCACGGGAGGACGCTAGTATATGTCCACCCGTGACCCTTAGGAGAACTATGGGGAAAAACACTTACCCCATAGTTCTCCTTTAACAAACGAAACAGAACCAAACTAGGTTTTAAGCCTTTAGAGAAAAAAAATTACATTTGTAAGACATTACCAAAAGAAAGCCTCGTCTGTTCTGAACAAAACAATAAATGTAACACATTGGCATCATGAGTATTAAACCAAAGCATATCAATAAACCTATAGTGGAAAACTAAAAATTGTTCTAGTCCAAAAGGGTTAAAAGATGTGCTGGCTGAAGTGTTTAAAGGATAATGCCAGGCAAAAAAAAAACCCTCAAAATGTCAGCTATGAATTATTTTGAAAATATTAAATCTGACAAGAAGCTAAAACCATAGTTAAAGCTGAAGTTTAATTGCATTTTTTGGGTATGCAGCACTAGGAAATTAACTTACCTCTAATGACATGCATTGCATATACTGATGGCTGCTGCTTAGTGTAGAAATCTATCGTCCTCTATTACCTATTCATAGAACTTGTAATATTTTTTCCCCAAACTGCATTGCACTCTATGAATGGAGGACAGGCAGATGAATAGTGGGAGGCACCTCCTTCAATATCAGAATGCTTTGCAATCTGGAAAAGCATACTAAATGTTCTGTGAATGGATGAGAGAGGAGGAAGGGCAGGGGTTAAGATCACCGACTGCAACTGCAAACTGTGAAGAATGTTCATCAGTAATTCTGTATTTGCCATTAAGATGACCCTGTCACTTTAGTATCAAAACGAAAGTTAAAACAACTTGTAAGACAAGATGCTATATACTAACTTTTCCGGGAGCCTATGTATTTCAATTCTTGCAAGATTTGAGAGAAAAAAGCTTTAACCCTTTTCAGACCAGGGATCATATGAAATTTAGCAGTGTCAGTATGCATTGGTAAAGTTGACAACAACTCTATGAATAATTTCCATGCCCAAGTTATGTTCATATTGAAGTACAAATACAGCTTTTGTTTGGTACACTGTTTTAGCAAAATCTCAATTCTGTTTTTTTTTTATATAGACTGACAAATGCACAAACATGTCATTGATTTTTTGGATACTGGAATTGCATCTGACAATTATACTATTAAACAGATGAGCACTCAACTTCAGGTTGCAGTGCTATCTATTCCTCATTGTCAGTGGGGGCTGGAGCTGTCATTGAAAGCCAGGATTGAGAGCCAACAGCTACACAATGGGTTAATAAATGTGTGTAAAGGGCAACTCCAGCTACTCTGTGTAGCCTGCTGTGACTGCTCCAGACCAGAACAGCAGGCTGCAAGGAATTAGGCTCACATATGCCTAGCCAGGGTAGCTGCCCACAGCCAATAACTGAAACAGCCATGTGTTTGAATTGAAAATGATGTCGCTGGGCCCCAAAGCGGTCAGGATACGCCAGGATAAGTTGGCAGCACAATGATTCAAAGGTATGCTCACTGGAAAAATATTTTCCATCTCCAAGCTCAAAAGCTTAAGACAATAATAATAGACATAATAGCCAAAATAGTCAAAAAGGTAAGTCATGATTATAAAATATGTCTAGTATTTTGAAAACAAATGATAAAATAAAAAAAATACATTTGTCTTTTTCAGCTGGTTCACTGGCAGAAACACAGAGCCTTTTGAAAAGGGGAACATGGAATTATAAGTACGGTACATACGTTCTTTGTTGAAGTTTTTCAAGCTATACATAAGCCAAGTTATGGAAATGCAGCTAACTGGAAGACTTAACAGGAGTTCTGTGGCTTGCAGTGGTCTCAGGCTTTTATGTGAGCACAGGGCTTCAGATGTGGTCCAAGGAGGAGGCAGCAGCCGTGAAATGATCTACTGTAATTGACTGCTGCCAGAAGGTCATGGGTATACAGTAAGGCAGTCTTCTGTGCTAACCACACTATGGATAATAACAGAGCTTTCATTTTATTTTATGGCACACATTTTCCTGTAATTAAAGTCCAACGATGGATGTGTACAGCACAGAAGCATCATCAGTCACTTGGAATATCTCATTAATGGAGTTGAACACATCATCTTATAGCAATGGAAGCCTGGCTGCAAATGGACTGTTGAAAATGAACAAGCACTATGTCATTGGGCTCGCCTTATCCTGTCTTTACACCATTCTGCTTTTCCCAATTGGATTCATTGGAAACATTATGATCTTGGTTGTAAACATCAAATTTCGAGAAAAGATGACCATCCCGGATTTGTATTTTATCAACTTGGCAGTGGCTGATCTCATCCTAGTGGCAGACTCTCTCATTGAAGTATTCAACCTCAGTGAGAAATATTATGATATTACCATCTTGTGCACTTTCATGTCTCTTTTCCTTCAAATTAATATGTACAGCAGCATCTTTTTTCTCACATGGATGAGCTTTGACAGGTATATTGCACTGACAAAAGTCATGAAATCCAACATCTTTAGGACTAAAGAGCATGCCAGGTTAAGCTGTGGACTCATTTGGATTGCATCCATCTCTGCCACTTTGCTGCCATTCACAGCGGTACAAGTGCAGCACACGGAGGACAGGCATTTCTGCTTTGCGGACGTCAAGGAAATCCAGTGGTTGGAAATTACACTGGGGTTTATCATTCCCTTCGTAATTATTGGTCTGTGCTATTCCTTAATTATTCGTGTGTTGATAAGGGCTCACAAACACCGAAACCTAAGACCAAGGCGGCAGAAGGCCATGAGGATGATTGTGGTTGTTGTTTTGGTCTTCTTTATCTGCTGGCTACCGGAGAATGTATTTATTAGTATTGGACTCCTCCAGAATGATGATGACCAGGAGAACAATCAGTCTTTCAGGCATAAGCACCCACTCACGGGTCACATTGTAAATCTGGCAGCTTTCTCCAACAGTTGTTTAAACCCACTAATATACAGCTTTCTAGGAGAAACTTTTAGAGATAAGCTGCGCTTATATATAAAGGATAAAAGAAGCATGTCTGCTCTCAACCGGTTCTGCCAACCATCGCTAAAATCGGTCAATCCTGACAGCATGGAGCAATCAGAAGTCAAATATAACAGTGGTGTTTAAATAAAGGTGCAATGTTGAAGGTGTTGTCTTTAATGTGGTTTCCAGTGGTATCCCAGCATCCATGTGTGAGTTTCTGGTTTCTGAAAATTGCCATAGTTGTGTTAGGCATAAAAACTCTCAGCCCCATCAACTTCACAACTGGAAGATTAATTTATCACATTTAAAAAGTAATAGTTACTAACCTAACCCATAAACCATTAATCAGAACCTACCTAACTCCAACAATAACCCCAGACTTTAAACAAAATATATATGAAGTCAGCAATAAATTATATCATGCTCAAATATGCCATAACAAATCTATGCAACACGTTTGCCCACATTCAAAATTACTAACGATGATGAACCTGCACTGAAATGTCCATAACCAAATTAATTCGTGATTGCTGGGCTCCAAATGTGGAACTCTCACCTACATATAGAAATAAGCATTCAATAAATTGCCCTGCCACTTTAAAATATTAAATGAGATGTGTTTGCTTTAAAAGCCCTTCATAAAAGAAAGTGGGCTGCCATTACTGACCCCTCTAAAAATCTTAGCTCCCTGGCATACTGATACTTTGGATTTGAGTTCACTGACACAAACCAATTATAGATTTAATTTTTACGTTTATCTTTCTTTTTTGCTAAATTCTTGCTCCTGGTCAATGACTGAATCCATATACAGCCAGACAACTAGCATTTTTCAGAGGAAGCAAGAAATGGCAGCCTCCATATCTTCCTTATGATGACAGGTGTACTTTAAAACAACCATGCCGCTATGCAAGTTTTCCAGGGAACGCACACCTGTAAAACAAAAGTATGAATACTTACCTCTCCCATGCCGCCAAGCACCTCTCTATTCCTAAAAAATGGTCCCCCTAAGTCCGCTGGGAAACTAACACTTTAGGAAGTCTTTTACTGCTGGGTCCCAGGCAGCAATCACCTGTTTCTCCTGCTGACCTCCATGTCACTATTAGGCCCTATAAGTCAACAGGAGGAACCTACACTCAAAGCAGACCCCGAGGACCCATTTTCCAGGAACTGGGCGGTGTTTGGCAGTGTGTTCAGCAGGAAAGGTAAATACGCCCCCCCCCCCCTGGGAAACTTTTGTATAATGACAGGGTTGTTTTTAAGGATATGCAGAGAGAAAAAATCCCTACCACTCTAC